AGTGTCGCCTAAACAAGCCGAGTTGGTAAACCCACTTACCTAATCTGTCATAGGGCGCAAGGCTTACTTTCTTAACTTTTAGACAAGTGAGAGGTTGATCCTTTTTTCTCTTTGATTTCTCTTTCTTCTTATGAACCAGGGGAACTGGCTCTGGAGCAAGTACGTCTTGCTGAGTTCTACTTTCTTGGAGGTAATCTGAAAACAAAACCGCTATTAACTGAATAATCGCTAAGAGCTATAAACAATATCATGGGGATTCTACATACCAAGCAATGTAGCTGATCATTACGCAGTATTTACACAGGCTCGGAGTCAAGCTGCCTCGGTTCCGAGCTCTGTTACAAGCTTCACTTCCTACGGCTTCGTCATTTGCCTTGTAAGTTACCTGTCTGCCTTACTTTATTACCTTTAAAATGAGGACTGTTATAGTAAGAACCCCATCGGGTGTTACAAGGATTCGATTAACTAATATGTTCAAAGGACACAGTAAGCGCTTACTAAGGTGAATGTTATCGATTTTATTATTACAATAAATCCTTAAAATGTGAATCCCCATGTAAAATAAATGCATAACAACCCCTTTTTATTAATTTAATTTGGTAACTGAGCCCGGAAAATGTTTAGATACAGGTGCAGAAAAGTAACATCGGGCCTATTTCTCATATTCCTTCTACGACTTACCCCATGGGTGGATTTTCAACATGAAAAATGGGAAAACTATTAAAAACAGGGTTGTTGTTTTTTTAAAAAAAAAGCAAATACATTTTACTTTTGATCCTCATTAATTTCAAATATTTACACAGTGCAAAACACTGAGCTACAATCAAATAGGTGATAAGACACGATGATCTCAACCAAAACAAAATGAACACGAGTGAAATAGCCCGTAAGCTCCGTTTCGGCCAATAGTCCTGACGCAGAGGAAAGAGGACAGGGAAGGAGGGGACGAGGCTGAGAAGCTCAAAGGAGACCGCGCGCCTGTCTCGCTCCAAGGAATCGGAGGTTTCGTTGTGGGCTGGGGACAGGCCTGGGGATGAGAGAGCCAAGAAAACAGAAGGACTGTCCAGGAGAGGACAAAGAGAAAATGTGAGCGTCCATGAAAAGTTTCTATGGGACAACTGAAAACCTCCCTTTACCTTTAACACCCATTCCGAGAGTTTGCCCACCTCCTTGCCTTAACTGCAACCTAGTTATTCCCTGAAGGCTTCACTACGTGCAAACCTCTCGAGTAGTGTTTGTTTATACTCCAACACCCCATACACCTCAGGATTGGAAAGTGGGCTTATTTTCTTCCTGGTTCCCAATTTACTACTTCCAAATCGTTACAATTTGCCCTCTGGAGGGCGGGGATCCTCCTCCTCTGAAGCTCGTGCCTTTTCATGACGTCATGCTCTTCCCACTGCCACCCATCAACTTCCTGGTCACTCGGTCTGGAACCCTGGCTCCGAGCAGGGACTACCTTCTCCATGTGAACTCTGTCATGGTTCTGGAAGACTTTGGGGTTCATGAATGAAGACCTGTCTGATACTGGGCCCCTCCCCACACTTCCTAGACATCTCTAGCCCACAGTGACCAGCCGCTCCCAAGACTGTCCTAGTGCTTGTCATCACTGGCCGCTCTCCTTCCTGCTCGCTTAATGCTCCCGACATCTCCATTATTTGATGTCATTAGTTCCTTCGGTTTACTGCCCCCTCACTTTCTTACAATCCATCATCCTTCTATTTTTTTTCTTCCATCTTTCTGTTTATCCCGCTGAGATTATGTCGTCTTTCAACAACACTCTAATCAATATCCTAATGTCTCTCTTCCTTTTCATCTCACCTATAAGGCAAAACACCAGCCCTGGGTGAACTCCACTCTCTATGTCTCTATGCCTACATCCTACAGCCTGGTGCTGTTAGAGAAATCCCCACAATGGGGAGGACTGAGAACCTCCAAAATTCATTTTAATTTAAGCACAAATGAAACCTGAACACGAAGCTGAAATCCTACTGTTCACTGGGTTGACTTGCTCTTCCGGATGTTTCAATGGCTATTTCAGATGGTCTCCACGCTCTTCAAATCTCCAAGCCTTTACCTTCCTATCTTTCTACATCAACTGATCTCGTTCCTCACTTCCCAGGGCAAATAAAAGACGTCAGGTGACACTTCCTTCATTTTGCCATTGCCAGGTAGGCCAAGTAACCCACATCTGCACCCATCCTGTCCTTCTGCCCTGCTGACCAGCAAAGGTCTGTTTCTCCTTCATCCAAAACTAACCTTGCCCCCCTTTGGCTTAGACCCCATCTTCTCGTGCCTACACTACTAACTATGCCTTTTCTTTCTACTTCATATCCGAGCAGCTCCCACCTTAAATAGAAGCTATTTCTAGATCACATTTCCTCCTAGTTAGCAATCTATATCTTGTCTTTCTTCACAAACTTCTCAAAAGAGTTCCACATGAACACTATTCTATTTCTTCATCTACTATCTCTACTTCTTAACCCTTTCCGGCCAGGTTTTGAAACTCCGCTAACATAGCACTCAATGACCATATCCTTTGGGTCGGCCGACTCAATGGACATTTTCTGCCCTCATTTCACCTGAATTAACAGTGTTATCTGATGCTGTAGACCACTCCTTCCATTTCTATTGAGATATAATTGACAAATAATAACATATCAGTTTTAGGCATATGACAAAATAATCTGATCTTTTTATATATTGAGAAATGCTCACCGTAAGTCTAGTTAACATCCTTTATCACAGTTACAAATTTTTTTCTTGTGATGAAAACTTGGAAGATTTATTCTCTTAGCAATTTTCAATTTACAATACAGATTAACAATAGTTGCCATGCTGTGCATTATATCCCCATGACTTAATTTATAAATGAAAGTTTGTACTTTCGACCACCTTCACCCATTTTGCCTCCCCTACCCCCACTCCCAGCCTCTGGTAACTACCTCTCTGTTCTCTGTGAGTTTGAGGGGTTTGGTTCTCTGTTTCAGATTTCACATTTAAGTGAGTATTTGTCATATAGTATTTGTTTTTCTCTGTCTGACTTATTTCACTTAACACCCTCTGGGTCCATCCATGTTGTCACAAATGGCAAGACGTATGTGGCTGAATAATATTCCAGTGTGTCTGTGTGTGTGTATGTGTGTGTCACAATTTCTTTATCTATTCATCCATCGACGGATGCGTAAATTGTTTCCGAGTCTTATAAATAATGTTGCAGTGAACATGGGGTAGACTATATCTTTTCAAGTTAGAGTTTTCGTTTCCTTTGGATGAATATCAAGAAGTGGAATTGCTGGATTGTATGGTAGAAAGGAAGAGGAGATAGACGATACCGGATAGAACCCACGTTCCTGAGGACGTAGCAAAGGGGGAGCTCCAGACCTGCAGTGGTGGGATTTACCCCAAAGGAGAGGAGGCACAGTTACCCCAGAGACAAGAATTTACTGCAGATGGGGCTGGGGAGCTGGAAGTCAGCTGTTCCCACTTGACAACCTCTATTTTTCTTTTTTACTTTAATAGGAGGCACAGCCAAGTAAGAGAGCCTAATGGTTAAATTATGACAGTTTAAGCAGAGGTTGTGAGTAATGGGAGGAAGAGCTAAAAGGAGACAAGAAAAAAAAAAAAAAATGAAACCAGACAGCACTGAATGCTCACTGATGCTGGCCACTGTGAATTAGGACAAAGAACCATTTGATGCGATTGCGTAAGTTCGCTGCAAAAAGCCTTCCCATCCCAGGGATGAAAGCAGAGAAAATTGACAATTACGTCGATCAGAGTTCAAGTTCTGCCAAACTAGATGCGGAGGAAAGAAATGGGAAATGGAGTTAAAGATATCGGGAAGAGAGTGGCTGATCCAGGAAGTAAAGAATGGAGAGTCGAGAGTAACCTTTACAAAAGTGAGGATATAAAAAAGCCAGATAAAAAAAGGCAATTGTGGTTAAAAAAAAGATATTAGAAACGGTAGAATCTGGGATAGGAAGAAGACTAAAAAAAAATGGAGATATGTGGAGGAGTAATCAAGACACCGGTAGATGAGACAACAGAGGTCACGACGTCGCCAGAGAATGTCCCCCCGCCTGCAGAGCCTTTACCTCAGGGTCGAAACTGAGATGATATGCATGACAGAATGATGCGGACTGTAAGTTGCTAGAGAAATATCAGATATTCTTGGCAGTAGCAGTAATATCACTGTTATTTTTAATATTATGATCAGTATTTATATTATGTTCCCTTTAAAAGGCAAGGGGCCCATCTGAAGATATTGCTAATAGCTATGACTAATGAAATTAGTAAAGTACCACATCTTGTATTTTGAAAGTAGACTCTAGTATTTCAATATATCTCATTTGTTTTCTCAATTTTAATGCTATGAAAACTTCTTTCCATTCCGTAAAAGAGAAATCAACATGCCTGGATAGTAATCATCTTGATAAGTTTCTTCTGTTTTCTCTGACTTCGAAGGTGCAGAAAATGTTCTAAATGTTTTATATTTCCAGGTTTCCTTTTCTGTTGTTTTAGATAGCTGATTCTCTGATGGTGTGACATAATTGTAATTTTGCTCTTTATAAAGTCTAATAGGATAAAGGAAATAAGATGCTATGGTTAACATTCTCTGTAACTTAAAATGTAAATCTTTACTCTGTACTTTACAATACAATATAATATCTATCCTTTCAGGCAATTTTTGATAGGAATTTTGATAAGCAGATCTGAACATAGGGTTGATTTAAATACTAAATAGATCTAAGCGATATTGAAAATTTAAAGCTAAAAGAGACTTAAAAATTCTCATCAAATTTTAAGATGAAGAAATGTTAATTAAATTAGTGGCAGAGTAAGGTCATATACTCATATACAAGTCTACTCATTTATTACCCTCGATACTCATATATTAACCTCCTTTAAAAAACAACAAAGCAACCACCAACAACACATATCAAGATTAAAACCAAAGTCTTTTCACAGCACATGAGCCAACTGTCTACTTTCTAAGTGTTGGAAAAATCTTTTCATACAAACAGAACACAAAATCACTACCCACAGCTGACTTATGCAGTGGACCATATTTTTACAAGGCAGAAGAAATTCACGATTTTGTAATTCTTTACATACACTTCTTGGTAAAAAAAAAAAAAAAAAAAATACCCATTGGTATGTTAAACAAAAATACCTCATCACATGAACAAGAAGGTAATACTTCAAAGCGCAACGTCTTTGAACTTGTTTATAGCTTCATCAGGGATTCTTAAATCCTTTCCCTCTGAGCATTTTGTGAGTCCCGCTTGGTTTCTAAACACATTGAAAAGTTTCCTCTTCATTGAAATGCCTATCCATATACTTTTATTTTGGTACTGAAATGTTTACTGCTTTCTTAATAATGTTTAGTTCTTTTCACATTTTGGATAGTAATCTTTTGTCATTTTGTATGTGTTGAAAATGTCTTCTGGTTTGGACTTCTCTTTTTTAATTTCTTGATAAAGTCTTGATAAAAAAGAAGTTCACAACTTCATTATAATCTACTTCATCTATCTTTGACTGTGTAGGTTTGTATTGTTTATGTGTTACTTAAGAAATCTTTCCTTACTCCAAGGTGAAGACGAAATACTTTTTCCTTAACAGTTTCAAAGATTCACGTTTTAGAATCCTTAGAATTCATACATAAGTCCTTAAATCCTTGAGTTTTGAGTTGTGGTATGAGGGGCAGATCAAATTTCTTCCCCCTCCACATAAGGATAAGTAGTTGCAACAGCACCGTTATTAAACACTCCCATCTTTCCCCTCACTGACCTGTAACACCCATTGCATACTATTAACTATCTCTGGTTCTTTATTTTTATTTGTCTATCCTTATTTCTATATCATGCTGCTTTAATTACTATAGTTTTGCTAGCTGTAAGTTAAGATTCTCCAATTTTCCTTTTCTTAAAGAGTGCTTACATATTCTAGGACCTTTGCTTTTCTATATATTTTCTATATATATCTCATTGCATTCTCAATTAAATTTTATAATTTCCTCTGTAAAAGTCAAACACATCATTCGAAATATTATTTTTTCTAGGCACCTTATTTTTCATTATCATTACAAAATGGTAGTTATGATTTAATTGCATTTTCAATCTACTGCTGGATTATAGAAATGCAGTTCACTTACATATACCCCTCCCCCAAGCTAAGGTTTTCTACACTCCAGAATCCTCATGCAATCCTCACAGGACAATTTACATTTTTTTCTTGTCAGAAAGACTTACCACTAGCCATATATTGTTGAGATTTTAACTTTATTATATCTTATTTTACCTTGATTTTGTGTCACTCTCCTCCCTGTTTATGTCTTGATTTACTATTTTTGTTGTATCGATGGGTATATACGTCGCCATATTTTTTTCTGAATAGAACTATGAAGTAATGGGCTGCAAAAAAATATATTTTTTTACATATGGAAGATGATTTCACAGCTATGACTATAGGTATTCGAAACTGCATACCTAATCCCCAGCTTGTCACTAGGTTTAATGTAGTATCCCCATTACCTTCAAGTGTACCTTATGCATAGTGTAATTTCCAGACCCTTCACCACGATTGTCATTCTTCTCGGGACAGTCTCCACATTGCTTAACTTCCTCTCTAAAACAGTTTTTTCCTTTCCACATTGATGAGTTGATGTAAATACAATTCTAATTTATCTTAAGTTCTATACTGAAGATAGTGATACATTTTAAGATCCTCTCCTTAGGGAAAATCATCAGCAAGAACTTAGGGAAGGCCACAGAACGGGTAGCCTGAGCTGCAGAACTCACGTCACCATTCATTAAGTACGAAAAGGCCACATTCATAAACAGCCAGCATTCCTCAAACAGAACACAACAAAAGGGGATGTGTTTTGAAATGTGAAAATGAGACGGTCTCTTTCTGATCACTGAGGGAAATCTAGCAAGATACAGAAATTCTCCAAATAAAGATGCACTGCATGAGAGTATACTCTAGCTAAAGAATTTAGGCCAAGAAACTCGCCTAGAATCAATGTAAAATAGAAAAAGCTTCAATTGACAAGTGAACAAGCTTCAAACAAATCAAATAAGACAGACTGAAATAGGCCAGAGGCAAGAGTAGTTCTTACTAGAATAGAAATGATAGGAATGTCTACATCAGATATGAAGCAGAAACTACAATATCAGTGTAAGACAGTCTACCTAGGGATGAGACTTAGGGTGTAGACAGAGATCCAATCAAGACCCAAAGAGTATCAAGAACAGCCATAAAGAATCATTCATCGCAGCCAGGAATTGAAAGATATAACTTTCAGGCTCACACTCGAGATAAGATGAAGAAACATCCCAAGGGAGATACTCCGTAGGATTAAAAAAGCATCCCTGAATCAGATTCGTTCTGGATTTGCAACAGAGGTCAGCAGAATCTTTCGGGAAAAAAAAGACCAAAGATAAATATCTCAGGCTTGTGGACCGGAAGGCAAAATCTAAGATATTCCATAGGTATCCATGTAACAAAAGAGAGCACAGATTTCCACATATATCTCATGGATGAAATTCAATATAGTATAATAATAATTTAGTACAATTTTTAAAAACACAGGGCTATTAATAAGAAAAATAGAATTCTTTGGAGGAGGATAATATGTCACTTAATTAGGATTCAAAGTTTGTGTTACCTGTGATCAAATTGGTTGTGATTATTTCTTTATAAAAACCATTCTTAGCTTGGGGACCATATAAAAACAGGTGGCAGGCCATATTTGACTGATAGCCCATCATTTACCGGCCCCTACAACAGAGTCTGCTAATCCCAACACTGCTTCAACTTTGAAATGGCTCATATTTTCAACATTACCATCAGACATCCGATAAACATAAGAAAAATGGCTCAATCTCACTATTAATCTCACTCGAACAGCGAAAAAAATCAAGCAAGTTATTCTTTTTCCTATCAAGTGAAAACTATCAAGTTAACCTCACACTTCTCCACAGCGACATTCAAAGACCAGATCATTTCCTCAGGGAAAAAAGAGAGGCTTAAGAATTTTATACATAGCCAAGTTTCATGTTAAATATGAAGATCACAAACATTTTCAAACATATTTTTTTTTTTTGTAAAAAGTACATGATAATAAACCTAGTCAACGCAGAGATGAAGGCAAAACACATGGTAATAAAGAAAATAATAGTTAGAACATTAAACTCATTTAAATATAGAATTAAGTCAAAACAACAATGGATGGAAAAGAAAAGTGGTAATTACTAGTTAGAACCGTTTAACAATTAAAATATCTTATGCTCAAAATCGAATGCAGCTACAGCAGTTTTAGAACTTAGAAATCAAAGTTCAGAGGAGTAATTAATGTATTTAGTATTTTAAAGACTAAAAATGTGTTCAGTAAAGAAGCTAGAACATGAACAAGCTCAGAGGAAGAGAAATTAATATAATTGAAAACAAGCAATAATCGAGATCAATAAAACTAAAAGCTGATGAAGGAAAAAAAGAAACAGTATTCAAAAGGCTCTCCCTTACTTCCCAAAAGAAAAAGACACCAGGCCAAAAGAGTTTTACTAGTGAGCTTTATCAAACATGCCAAGAACAGAAAATCCTTATATAAACTCTCAGAAATAAAGGAAAGCTACAGAACTTATTTCTTGAAATGAAAATAGCAATGATTCCCAAATCAGACAAGAACAAGTACATGCACAAAAAATTTATAGACACAAAAAAGTTCATAACATTTATGAACATAAATGTAAATATCCTAAAATATTAGCAAATCAAATCCAACGATGTGTGTCAACGCACATATGTGAGATATATATAGATAGATGAAGTTTACCCCATGAATTGAAGTACAATATCTATTGTTATTAACGTAATAACATTCAAAATACTTATTAGAAGTTATATTTATCTACATTAGGTCACATATATACTCATCTGTATTTGTGTTGTGTGTGTGTATATATACGTGTATGTATATATTACATGATAAATGGTGGCAAAGTTTTCCAAAGAGTTCATTACTCACTTATGACTGAAAAAGAGCCAAGCCCTCATTAATCTAGGACTAGAAGAGAGCTCACTCGGCCCAATACACAACAACTAACCCTGCACTAGAAAGGTGAGCTCCTAAGGGCAGGGACATTGTCTGAGTCATGCCTGCTACACGGTGAATGCTCAGCAAATTCCCGCCGCGTGAATCCTGAAAGCGGGGCTCGGAGGCATCCCCCTGCAAGCTAGGAAATCACAAGGCCCTCCCTCCATTTCCGCCCAGCTCCCCGGGGCCAGCGCCCGGCCGGCCCTCCCAGCCCTGTCCCTCCTGGGCCCTCGCCCGCCAGGCTCGGCTGACTGATGGATCAAAGGCCTGGTGTCGCAGAGGGTCTCCGCCGCCCTTACCCCCAACGCTGTGGCCAGACGGCAGCCTCGGCCCTTCGCCCTTCAGACCCCCACACGCTGGACAGCGCCAAGTGAGGCCCGCCCAGAGGGCCAGTGGAGGGACCGCTTCACCGTGTCGCGCCGCAACCTCCTCGCCCCCCACCGAGCCGTAACCGCCCCACCGAGCCCGGCCGCCCCGCGCACAGCCTGCAACGCCCGATTCCTAGCCCTGCCTCGGCCTCCAAGGGCGTCGTGACAAGGGCGTCATGACACTGACCATGTCTTAAAAGTGGTGGCGGGGAGGCCAGGGTGTACAGTGTGGCCCAGAAATTTGCATTAAAGTCAGATTAGATATATAGTGCAAGTCGAAGACCCCAAGTCTAACCTATCGACCCCCTGCTACCTAGGGGTGGCCTACTACCTAGGGGTGGCCTAAAGGCAGGAGAGTGAGTGTCTGTAAAACAGATGACTCTGGGGACCCTTGAAAAGAGTGACTTCCGTTCAAGATTTTCAAACCTGTGGGCATAAACTTATGGTTTAAAAGCCTTGGTTGTTAGTAAAAGGTTATATCTGGAAGTGTGTGTTTGTGTGTGTGTGAAAATGCCTCTTTTTAAGTATCTTATAAAAAATTTAACGAGTCAATGTTCTATATTTCACTCACCCAATTCTTTACTGAGCACTTACTAGGTACCAGGCACCGAGCAAGGCACGCAAGACACATGGGTTCCTTTCTTTGCATTTCTTTGTAGGGGTCACAGAAGAGAAATAATACAGAGATTTGTTGTAGTCCACTATATTTAAGACTATGTTTCATTTTTAAAAAGTCCCACTTTTAATATTAATAAACTTGAATATGTAAGCATTCATCAGGTCACAGTAAAATTTGAGTATGAATTCGAATTTGAGTATGAAGCTGTTCAGAGTGTTTGAATATTGAGGGAGAGGAACAATATCACTTTAAAAGGAAAAATCATTTTGGAAATAATGTTACTTTACATGACAATAATTATCTCTGTTTGGTAAAATCAGCCAGAAAGTTGAGAGTCATAGCTCAATAAAACCATCCAAACAACAAACTGTCATTCAACAAACTGTCTAAAACAAGATTAACAAAAAACAAAGACCGTGAGGCCACCTTCTCCTCCAGTCACCTTCATCTCAACATATCACATGGCAGTTGTGGGGTGTCCCTTGCTCCCTACCCCAGTGCAGCTTATTACAAAGTCCTGTGGGTTCTATCCACTAACTGTTTAGTTTGTCACTCGGCTCCATCTCTGCTGTTTCAGCAGTGGGCAAAGCAATGGCCCTCAAACCAGGGTACAGTACCTCTGGAGGAAGCCAGAATTCAGGGGATTGGGATTATGTGTTCAATATTTTCACCTCAAGCATCTTCGCCATAATATCTTGGCTACAGCGTTTCACCACAGAACTAATTTGCCATAAGGCCATTTTGCCAGACTTGTCTTCCAAGTTTTTCGTTCATGGTATTCTACATTTTTTTTTTTTACTAGTTGATCTGCATTTGCATATTATCACATGTCCAGTGATAGACATTCCAAAGCTCTATAGAAAATGTTATCATTAAGTAAGACATACAATATTACTGAAAGATCCGCGAACTTATATGTGATTGTTTTCTAGTATAGTACACAACCTGGCCCAGGAAGTTTTATCACTGTATTTTCCATCAAGTCTGTCTACATACTTGTTATCAACCACTAATTTCAGACCACGTCTTCTCATTATCGGATAGAACATTATGAAGGCTAAGATTTATACAGTATAAAAATGAGAGGCTTACCAGAACTTTGTCAATAGAGAAATGAAATGAAACCAAACTGTCAACCAATGTTTTTATCTTGTAAGGCAAAATGGCCTTATCACTAGTTAGTTCTGCCACAAAAATATTTGTCGCCGAGATGTTTATCCTGAAGATGCTTATAGGAAAATATTTAGAACTCTGAGGCTAGTGATGGTTTTAAAAGAATTCATTTATAGAGCAAGG